TCCTCACAAAATTAGACCTCAGAGAGGCATAGTACCGAATACAGATTAGGGAAGGAGATGAACGGAAAACAGTGTTCAATTGCCCCCTAGGGAGCTTCTAATTCAAAGTTATGCCTTTCGGACTACAGGGAGCCCCAGTAGTGTTCATGCAGTTAATAAACGAGGTGCTGCATGAGCACCTCTACAAGGGGGTCCTCATCTACCTGATTGACATCCTCATCTACACTGAGACCATGGACAACCACATACCCCTGGTCCACCAAGTACTGGAAAAACTTCTGGCAGCCAACCTGTACGTCAAGATATCAAAATATGAATTCCACCATGAGCAACTAGACTACCTAGGCTACCGAGTGTCAAATGAGGGAATAGAGATGGACCCAGCCAAAATGCAAGCCATCCTAAGCTGGCAACCCCCTCGCACTCACAGACAGCTACAAAGCTTCCTAGGATTTGTGAACTTCTATAGGCAATTCATACCCTCCTTTATGAAGATCGCCAAACCCCTGACAGACCTCCTGAAGACAGGGAGCCCAGAAACAAAACCTCGCCCGGGACAACCTCTACAGTGAGATCTAAGCTGCCAAAAGGCATTTGAGACACTAAAAGAAATGTTTGCAAAGGAACCGGTGCTGAAGCATCCTGACCCCAAGCAACCCTTCGTGATCCAAGCAGATACCAGTGACATGGCAGTGGGAGCGGTGCTACTCCAAAGAAACAACCAAGGAAACCTACAACCCTGTGCCTACACCTCCCTCAAGTTCACAGACACAGAGAGACGATGGGCTGCATGGGAAAAGGAGGCTTTCGCAGTGAGATGGGCACTGCTAATCTGAAACTGTTCAAAGTCTGGACTGACCATAAGAATCTGGAGGCTCTTAGGACCCCCAATAAGTCCGATGGGCTCAATATTTCAACCGCTTCGACTTCGTACTAAAACACATTCCAGGGCAGAGGAACTTTCTAGCTGACGCCTTCTCCCGCATGCCCCAGTAGAAATGCGAACGGGAGCAGGTGGTGGATGCCATCATTCCCTCTATCCAAATAGCTGCTCAAGTTACCACCAAACAACAACACCATGACTGGCACAACCAACCAGCAGGTGACCTAATCACGATGCTTAGATGTAATTAATTTTAGTTTCCTATTCCTCTAAAGAATAGTTCACAATAGCTATAATTGCATCAAATGAGTAAGGCTGTAGTACTGCACAAAGCTACATTAGGAAAGAAATACTACTAAAATAACATACATCATATAAAATAGCACTGTAAATTCTAGGCCAAAAAGCAACTCATAGGCGACAAAGCACATAGTTTCTCTTAGTTTTCCAATAAACCTTTTCACTTCAATGAAATTGGATTAAAAGAACATTTTCTGGATAAAACAAATGTATCCATTAAAATTAAGAATAATTAGTAAAAAATACATTTGCTAATTGGAAACATATTTTAAAAAGTAAACAAAGGGAGATGATATTGGTCAGTTTTCTTATAAACTTTTGAGTACTGTCATGTATAGATGTTGTAAATATTGATTTTCTTACAACTCCCAATATTTGTTTTTAAAAATTCCCAAATGTTTCTCAGTCCTCTATGATTTAATGATATTCAGACATAGTTGAAGTATCATTGTAAAATCCTTATCTTTCATAATGGATATTTAAAACTTTTCTGAATGCATATCTTGGCAATTTTTATTATAATTTCAGGCAAAAACAAGAGTATAATTTTCTTTTAGAATTTTGATGAGAAGTGATTTTATTTTATATATTTATTTTAAGCCATGCTGAACCATTGCAAAATGTTGCAAATAAATGACTATAAAAAAGAATAAAATGTTTTCTCATTTAATCATATTTCAGGAAGCAAAAAGATAATCAATCATATCTTTGGGAATTATAGCTCAAATATATTGTGACTGTACACCGAAGACATCAGTCTTTCTTGTACATTGACTGGTCACAAATTCACTCAACCATTAATAAATCACCTGTTGATATAATGATGTTTAATTAGAAATTTTATTTTTCCTAATTATTCTAGTGCATATTGACTCAATCTATACCTCCTGAATTAAGGTGCAAATTTCTCAAAGTGTGCACAGTGTGACTACTATTTCGAGACAACCCAGAGCAAAATACAGTAGACAGAAGTTTTGTCTTTCAAACAGTGGTTTATCTACAAGGCATACACACACACACACACACACACACACACACACACACACTTCTACTAGGCAAAACTAGGTAATCAATCAATCGTCAACTATAACACGGAAGCACGCAGAGAGAGACACCCTCACATGGCTTCCCTTATATAGACAGCTTCTTAAAGTGGCAGTAACCTTGCTGACTCATTCTCATTTCATCATCTCGGTTTACAGCCTTAGAGCAGCTGGTCAACTATCATCATAGAACATAATCATTCATTATACTTCAATTATGGCTCTCTTATGTCAAAAAATACATTTTAGTGCCTGTATTTTACACCAGAATTAATTTCCTGATGGAGAATTAATGCTTTTGGCAGTATTTAATCAAGTTAAAGAGACAAAGAAAAATAGGTCCTTATTTCTATTTCCACAGTTCTGAAAATGAAGAGGTCATAGATATTTACAAATATAATATTGCCTGGTTTTTAAAATGTTGCCTCCCCTTTTCATGTCCTTCCTTTTTAATAATTACATCTGATGAATAGTGCAGGGAAACTTAAAACATTTCAGACTATATTCTGTTTCAATTTTATATCAACAGATTTTGTGTTTAGAATTAATTACAGTAGAAGATTGAAGCAAAATATTTAAAAATAAATAAGGATTTTTGTAGAGGGTTGCCTGACAATTCTAGCAAATGATCTTAAAATTCAGGATTATCATTTTAAGACTACGAGTTCAACTTCATAGTTCCACAATGATACTAAAGTGATTTACTGCTGTCTCCTTCTAGAAATGATTTTTAACTATCAAAAGTCTAGTTTACCTCCTTGGGATTTCCTAATATTCCCCATTCAAATATTAATCAGATATAATCCTGTTTTAAGTTCTTAAAATTTTAAATCTTAAAATTCTAAATGCTGTCACAGGAATATAAATCTGCTGAATAAACTTCAGGTAAGTCTTTTTTTTAAGCATATACATCATGAATTTCATAATAGTTCTAATTGTTTATATGTCACAATTAGAAGTCAAAGTGTTTCAGGGGTAGGCCAAGTTGATGTCTTCCAAACTTTTGGGAGACTTCAGTTAAACCAATTCCAGACAGCTGGTTGATGTCAAGGGACTTTGTTAGTTTCTGGATGACACCCAATTGTCTATTCCCTGGTATGTTTACAATTAAATTGAAATTACAATTAAAAGCAATTTAATTAAATGCAGACTTTTCATCTGTATATCATCAGGAGGCAATTTAGATTTTTTTTCATGACTTTCCTCACAGGAGTGGGAAGAACATTGGGGGCAAAACAATGACTGTGGAAGTTATATAGATAGAAATAAAATTTTGTTAAAAAATAAAAGCAAGATTTACTAATTACAATACATTTTTGAATATTAATATTTTAGACATAAAGGTTTTGCTCTTTTAAACATGTGCTTTTAAGAGATGCTATTCTTTTGATAACCCTGCCACAAAAAAATCTTACAATATACAATCATCACCTTTAAATGATTCAATGAAAACCATTGATGAGCCTTTCAAAACCTTTATGGAGTACAGCTACCTTTTTAGTGGGCAAAGAACTTTGTAAAGCTTGAACAATGGGAGAAAATATGAGCTAAAGGTTTAAAATTTATATTAAATTACATTTTTTTAAAATTGTAAGATGATATATTGCTGCTATTTAACACCAGATAAGTTATCAAAAATATATAAAGGTATTTCAAATGAATGTTGGAAATGCAGATGTAAAGAATGGGACTTTTATCATTTGAGCCACAATGGCTTAGTGGTTAGAGTGCAGTAGTGCAGGCTACTTCTGCTGACTGCTACAATTTGGCAGTTCAAATCTCACCAAGCTCAATGTTGGCTCAACCTTCTATCCTTCCAAGGTAAGTAAAACAGAACCCAAATTGTTGGGGGCAATATGCTGACTCTGTAAACTGCTTAGAGAGGGATATAAAGTACTGTAAAGCAGTATATAAGTCTATTGCTACTTATGGTGGACATGTGATAAAGCACAGAAATATTGGAGTAGGATTTATATTCTAATAGAGAAGATTCTCAAAGCGAATATAAAAATAAAACCAGAAATTTTTCCTTGGGTTCAATGGAAAAAGATACATTTTTTTTGGAATGTTGATTATACATGTTGACAGCAGCAAGATTACTTTGTGCACAAAAATGGAAGGACATGTCAATCCCCATAATGGAAAAATGGCTTCAGAAGCTGATTGGAGTCAGCAGAGATGGCTAAATTGACTGCTTTGATAAAAGAAAAAAACTTTGTAAACTTTGTGCTTGAGGCAGAAAAATATGAAACTTTGATTTTGGATTTTACTGATTAGATAGACTTGTTGTTATAGAAATGGCTAGTTTATTATAAAAGTAAAAAATTGAAGTTCAGTGTTACTTCTTATTCTACTGCACCAAAGGGAGTCAGATGTCAATGCCTTTTCTTTCTTTCTTTTTCCCTTCTCCCTTCCCTACTTTTCCAATGATTTATTTTTGTATTTTATGTTATAAACTAATAAAAAGGAATACACCTACCTTTTCTATTTGTTAAATCTATAGAATGAAAATAACTACTTAAATAAGATATAAAATATGGTGGTTTTATACAGGCATAAAAATATCAAAGATCATAAACTTTATCTCACTACAATTAACCATTTCAGTAATTCAAATTCAAGTTCTTCTTAATAACCTATTACAATTTGTGTATATATGCACAATCTGCAATATGTAGATGAGAGACAATTTCAGACAAGAAATTGATTCCAAAATGTAACATAAAGACAAAATGAAGAAAACAGACTTAGCTTTCAACAAGCCATTAACTCACCTGATAGGGTACAATACTTGCATGTGCAGTGCCCCATCGTATGGATTCTGTTCTGCAGTTTAGAAAATTGCTTGCTATATAAGTAAGGCAGGCAACCTGCAAAGATTTGAAATACACAAATGTCAAATTCTGATATTATAGACATAAACGTCTGTTTGTGTGTGTGCATTCAGCCATAACTGCATTTATTACCCCACAAATCTCAGCCTTCAACAGTCTTCTTAGAATATTGGCTGATTACTGAAAAATACAACAGTTGGCAATTAATTACCAAAAGAACAAAAGTAATGGTCTTTGCTAAAAAGCATAAAAATATAAGTGATGTCTTTCAGGATACAAAATTGAACAAGATTAAGCTACAAATACATAACGATGGTCCTTAAGGCTACTGGTTATTGGAGAAAATCATATAGATTCATAAAATAATTAGCACTGAGGAACTCATAGAAATATTGAGTTTTATTCATGCCCAATGCAATGAATGAAAAAGAAGAATTGAAACTGTTTGAGGCAAAGGCTATGACTCACATACTGGTAGCTTTCATTTAGCAATTACAATTGAGATCAACAGCGCTACTTGAGCAAACTGTCACTGTGAGAAAACACATGACCACAATTGTGCTTTCTTTTTCCATACTCCCATATCCTTTGACATGCTCATTCTGGCACTGGGATAATTAGCAAAAAGGAAAATCTTTGTATTTACATTCACAGGAGGGAAAGGTAGTGAGCCAGTACACAATAGGAAAGATATTTCAAAAATGATGTGCTGATGCCAGCAGTCCCAATAAACCTATATAAACAGGACTAGTGAATTCCCTACTGTGTGCTTACTCTCTTGTAAACCCTTTCTCTCCAATCTCTCTGATATGAGTGGGAAAGGGAATTCAAGAAATTTCTATAGGCAGTCTCTTCTGTGCCTGATCCAGAGGTGGGTTCCAGCTGGTACACATCACTATGGGAAGCAAGGGAGGGGCTTCTTCAGAGTACCCGAGGCAAGAGCGGCATTGAAGCCCTTTCTGAAGCAGCTGGAAAAGGTACACGTGGGGGGGGGAGAATTCAAACTTCATCCTCCTGATGCGGTGCAGGGCTTTGGGCAAAGGCTGAAGAGAAGGGCCCCGGCCCTCATTCACGCTCTCTCCTTCGCTCCCTCCCTCCCTTGTGTAGTTCGATATAGCCTGCAGTCAGTGAAGCTGGGGGCGCACACACACAGAAGTTGGATTGTATATCTTTCCCAATGGCTTGAAAGCAGCTCCTTTGCCATCCCCCCATTCTCCTACTGCCTTCCACAAACACCTCCCCCATTGCAAATGCAGCCTGCTGTCTGGGTGGGAAATACATGTGGAAGCTCACAAGAAGAGGGGTTCGAAGCTTGTTATGGAAACAGGCTAGCTGATGAGACAGCCAAGGAGGCAGCACAAATGAGGGAGGAGGTGTTTGTTCTCATTCCAACTTTGGACTGGGATATCTCACCCCGTTTTACTGATGAAGAAGAAAAGAAGATGGCTGAAGAGCGGGCTAAAAAGATGGAGGGAAAATAGATTACAAGCAATGGATTGCAGAGAGTGAACAAATCAATCATGAGAAACATTTTGGAGAAAATACATGACAGAAGTCATTGGGGAACATCGTAAGAAGGTGAACTATGTCTTCGGAAGTGATAACACAACTCCACTAGACTACCCCGTAGTGAGGTTGGACACTCCCATAGTGCCTAGAGAACGACCATTCAGGTAAGCCAATGGTCATTCTCCTACGCGCTGCTTGGAGTGTCCAAGCATGGGACATACCCAACTATATAGTCCCAGGGTGGGAAGAAAAAAGGTCCTGTTGTTCAGGAGCCACGAGAACTCGCTGCAAAACTCTTCTCCCAAAGGAGGCCTCAGCAGCTGCGAAGGAGTCCAATTATAGTTACGAATAAATGTAGAAGGCGAGGACCAAGGGAGAAGAAGGTGGGGCTTAGCCAATGTTCCCTCTAATTTTTTTTCAGTGTGAGCNTGCATGAATGAACTGATTATTTACCAGAAATGATTGGATGACCAACCAGTTACAACATTGAGTTAAACCAATTATGGAATTATATATTTCAAATGTCCTGCACAATGTCGTTTCTAAAAACAAAATGTTCTAGGACTCTTGTTCCTGTTGCGTACCTTTCCAAAAGGATTAGGCAAAATCCAATTACTATCTAATGCTTTTGTAATTATGACTTCTGAAATACTGTACTGCAGAAGAGTTATAGAGCTGGATGGTTGCCGGTTCAAAATTTAGCTCGGTCAGGAATCTATTATGCAGTTTATTAACTATTATTTCTAGGATTTAATTGGATGCAGCGCAGCAGCTCAACATGTATCACAGAAATGAAATCCCAAGACCAGAATATTAACTAAACTCAGCAAGAGCGTAACCAGTGTGGAAACAGAAGAAACACATTTAAAAGGTTGGGCCAATTAAAAAAATATTTAGATGTGGTCACAAAAGGCCCACACAGTGTTACGCGGGGATGATAAAATTCAGCAGCCTTTTTAACCCGTTCTTCAGTGCCTCATTTCTGATGGTATAAGAGACCTCCAATTAGTATGCTAGAAATAGAAGTTGAATGAGTAGAAGGGATACAGTGGGCCACTACCAGATACAGAACACTAAAGTTGATGAGCTTATGGATTCAGTAGAATTCTTCCTGTATCCTTATGATGACATTTTCATCTTTCTAGAATATGGGTTTAATTCTGCCATTCTGAGATCCCAATCTGAGTATTGAATTAAAACACATTGGAAATGTTGTGGTTTTCATAAATAACCCGAAATCATTTAGTTAGTTTTGCTTTTCAAAAAATGGTATTGTAATTATTTACTGTCCTTTTGAACTTTGTTGATTTATTTTCTCACCCCATCTTCACTTCTGTATTGCAAAGTAACACATTTGGAAAAAACAAAAAACACCACTGAATTATTTGCTTGCGGTTTGGATGGATAAAGCTATCTTTCTCAGTCCCTCTAATCAGTTAAAATACTGATTCCAAAAGGCACTTCGTTCTTGTTGCCAAAAAGCTGGCTTATATACATGGAATATTGGAAATTCTTAAGAGTTGTTTAAGCAGAAAGCTCTGGCTTGTAGAAGCAACAAACAAGGTTACAAATAAGCTAGGAAACACCCATGACCAAGTGATAATATCAGATTTAACAACATTTCTTCAGACAAATTACAACTGCTTTAATAATTTCATTCAACTTGATACTAAGAGTTAACTACCTTTTTTTTTTGGCCTTAAAAACAACCTTTATGTTGCTTCTACACTGCCAATTAATTCCACATAAAATAATCACATTCTCTAAATGGCAGGATGACCTTTCTCC